CCCCCCCCCCCCCCCCCCCCCCACACACACACACACACACAAAATTAAAAATAACTAGAGTGAATTGGGCGCAGATTGGCTGAAATATGTGGAACTTAGAGCAAACATATGCCAACTGCGTGATGTCTGACTTTGCCACAGCACCATGACAACACCTTTCACCAAAAAGTCTTTGTTCTTGAAAGCAAGTGAGATCATCTTATTATCTGTGTTCTGACAGAATTTGTTGCTGATTAGGTCACAATAAGGTCACAATAATAAGGGACAATAATAACACCAACATACCTAATGTTGTAATTGTGCTTTATCGGTTGAACCTATTTAGTCTGCTTTTGTCCCCTAATACAAGTCAAATCAAGAAGAACATAAAGTAAAATAGTTTTTCAAGACTAGAAGGAAATGACAGAGATGTTTACAGCTTCTTTGCAAGGAAGCACTTTTACTCAATGATCTCATTTGCTTTAAAAAGCAGATTTCACAGCATTGCTAAAGCCATTAAATTTTCTTCATGTAAGCATGATGTTTTATGAAATTACTCCTACAGTTAAAACTGTATCCTACTTCAGTCCTCCAAATAGTGACTGTGCTTCTCTTCACTTGTGTTTTTCCAGGAAAGCTCACTCCCTCTCTCTATGAGGTTGGTGGATGCGAAATGTCTCTTGTCAATTTTGAACCTGCAACCAGACGAGCCTCCAATAATCTATGGTTGGTGTAAAACTCATGATTTTAGCCTTGCTTTGTCTTGTTAAGTTTTGTTATTATGGTCTTATTTTTATCTGTTKTCATGCAGGGACACGGACTCCCACCTCTCCAGTTCTACCTCAGTTCATTTCTACCCTCACGACCTGGTAAGTGTCCAAACTCAGCTGTTATGTGTCTTTGTGAGTACATTTAAGACAAAGAAAGACTGAAGTATGCCATTAACATGTATTTAGCAGACTTTGCAGGGCCTGGTTTTTAATGCTATAAACACACAAATCAAAAATCTGTCCATCCATTTTTTAACTCACTTTTTCCTTCCTGGGTAATGGGGAACTGATGCCTATCTCCAGCAGTCACTGTGCAACAGGCAGGGGACACCTGGGGACTTCTGCTTTATTTCTTGCCCATACAAATAACGTGTTTGAGTTGTACAGGTGGTCAAAATGCACTGTAACTAAGTTTGATTATTGGACACGTTTCCTGTCATAGATCCGTCTAAACCGACTGCTGACGATGGACCCAGAGTTATTAGAGCAGCAAGACGGGGACTTGAGCCCAGAGCTCCAGGATGCACCAGTGGGACAGGAGAACTTTGCAGCCTCTGCTGCTGCTGGCAAAGCCAAGCAGTACTACCGCCTGTGGCTTCTCCCTTACCTGTGGGTTGGCCTGCACTTTGACCGGCTTACCCTACTGGCATTGTTTGACAGGTAGGGCAGAGTGGCATGCTGTTAAAATTGTTTCAAAAATGTTTAGTGACAGAGTTCTAGTACCTAAGAAGAAACATAATTCAGAAAAAACATCCCTCTCATCCTAAATGTAAAATAAACTATACTATAAACAATCTATTAACACATAAACTTGATTGGCATAGTCAGAAAGTTTTATGGTCCTATTTTATGTAATATTGAAGGAAATTTTGTAACTGATTAATTGAATATTATATGCAGTATTGTATTTTATACTTTCTGATCATTTCAGCCTGTAAGGTTAAAGCAGACAAAGAGTTGGTGTGTGTCTTATCGTGTGTTCTTTCTTTAGTCTAAACAAAATGAGTTACGTTCTGACTTCTGACATAAAAGGTAACACCTTCAAGGATGTACATTATAAGGTCAATTCATTATTATACAACCCCTGGCAACAAATCTGGAATCACCAGTCTTGGATGAGCACTAATTCAGGCATTTAATTCTGTAAAACAAACTCAGATCAAAAACATGATACAATAATAAGGTCATTCCRAAGTGCAACTTGTTGGCTTTCAGAAACACTCAAAGAAATGAAGAGAAAACATTGTGGAAGTCACTGAGTGTTACTTTTATTGACCAAGCACAGGGAAAAAAATATGGAATCACTCAATTCTGAGGAAAAAAGTATGGAATCACTCAGATTGGAGGTAGAAAATAAGGACACACACAGTCAATTTCCTTTCCCTAAATGGACACCTGCCTCAGATTAGATCTGCTCGTTAGTCTGCAGTTAAAAACACCTGCAGTCATGACACCTTGGAGGGCTGCTGGACAAAGTGGAGTGGCAAGAACCATGGCTCCAACAAAAGAAATATCTCTTGAAACAAAAGAGAGGATTGTGAAACTTCTTGATGAAGGTAACTCTTCACGCATGGTTGCTAAAGATGTGGGCTGTTCTCAGTCAGCTGTATCCAAGATATGGACCAAATACAAACAGCATGGATGGTTGTTAAAGCCAAGCTTACTGGTAGACCAAGAAAAACATCAAAGCATCAAGACAAACTTAAGGTCATTCGTCTTGGAAACCGAAAAAGTACAACTAAACAGATGAAGCATAAATGGAAGGAAGCTGGAGACAATGTATGTGACCGAACCATAAGAAATGACCTAAAGGAAATGGGATTTCAATACAGGAAAGCTAAAAGAAAACCATCATTGACACATAAACAAAAAAGAACAAGACTGCAATGGGCTAAGTAGAGGAAATCATGGACTGTGGATAACTGGATGAAAGTTA